AGACAGATGTACTTGTGTGTGCACGTATAAATGTTTTCTGTGTTTGTGGGGATATTTCTGAATCGTGATGTCCCCACAAATACAGAAAGACACACTCAGGTGTGCTAGTCCAGTACACTCCTCTATATTGTTCAAGGCTTCAACTTAATGCTGTCGATAAATCCATACAACCCGATCTGACCGCCTCCAACACACACACACAGCTTCCTGAGTTATTCTGAGACTGTGCTGATCGAAGACGACTCCTCCACTCGCTTCTTCAGTCAGAGTGTGAGCGATTGGGATTCCCTGAAGGCAGCCAGCTGGACCGAAGCCCTCACGTGAAATAAATCACATGCAGACAACGTGGCCATGAAGTGTCCAGGTGGCTGGTTTCAGGAGAGGTGATGGGATTTGGACTGGTTTCAGGTCGGTCCGGTGACTCCTGTTAGTTTTGTTGTATGATGGTTGTGCCAAAAACAAGACGACAAAGTCTGTTGAAACCAGCGAGCATCCGATGCTACTCACTAGCATGGCAATGCTACTGACAAGCACCCTATGATATTCACCAGCGACTCAAGGCTAGTCGCTAACATTTCTTTGCTACTTGTTAGCATCATTATGCTTCTCTGTAGTATGCTTATGCTCCTCACTAGTGTCCATAGGTTATCCGCAAACAACCCAATGTCAATCATTAGCTTCACTAGCAAGGCTTCTCACTAGCATCTTTATGCTAGCAAGGACGATCTTTAGGCTGGCAATTAGCACTGTTATGCTACTCATTAGCATCACTATCCAACTCATAGCCACCCTTAGGCTGCTAATTATTCTGTAGCACCACGATGCTACCTCATAGCATTTTTTCCTGCTTACTATTGCCCCTATGCTACTCACTAGCGTCTGTATGCTACTCACTATTGTCTCTATGCTGCTAACTGTCGTCCCTGTGCTACTCACTAGCATCCCTAAGCTTCAGTAGCACACCTTACTAGCATCTTTTTGCGACTCTTTCTCGTCTCTGTGCTACTCGCTAACATCCCAGAGCTACCCACTGATGCTTCAGGCTTGTCCCAGTGCTGCTCAGTAGCAGTTTCTGTTTTGTTCTTGTTGGCAGGTTTGAGGCATTTAGCTAATAAAAAAACTTCTAAACACTTTTCTGAAAGAAACCTCATAAATCCAAACGATACAAATTTGATCTGCAAGTTGAGCTGCAGAAAACAATGTTTTTTTCTATTTGGAAACCGTTTCTAAACCTTTACTGTTTCTGGAGTCACGTGTTCTCTCTGCGCCTCCACCTGAGTTAAACCTGCACAGAGCAGGTAAACAGCCGACTAGTCATGAGATCCTTCAGGACGTTGTCATCACGCATTTGGCTTAATTTTCAGACATTTCTTGGTTTTAAGAGGCTGTTAATGTATTAGCTACAAGACATCTGATTACATGAATTATTAAGCAACAGACAAACAGTCCTGACTCGTGTCTATCAGGTGAAAACACAATTAAACTCCTTTAGGCAGCGATCTCTGAGTGAAACGCTCGGCTTCACGTCTGTCAGTCAGTCTGCTGCAGAGTGACGGTTTTCAAACAGCACATTCCTCATTTCAGAACAAAACTCTTCAGCTGCTTCGAGGCAGGTCAAAGCAGAGGGCAAACGCTCGGTGGAATAAAGGATTATGGGTAAATCCGAGGATTTTGGGCGTTTTTGGCCTGGGAACCAGATGAGAGGGAAGTGGTTTCCCTCTGCGGGATGAAGACTAATTGAGACAAACCTGTCTCCTTTTTGAAGTGCAGACCCTCCAGAAACTGAGTCCGTGACCCCGTCAGGGCCGTGATCCACAGTTTAAGAAACACAGAACAGGAAATATTCATCCGCAGAGAGAGAAACAACTGGGACTTAATTCTAAGAAAAGTTTGTTCGTTCAGGAAGTGGATTCTCTGGGAAAAGAATAAACCAGGGGCTTAAAACCAGATGAGAAAAACTAGTCTAAACCAGCCTAAAACCAGCTTAGAACAAGCCCAAAAAGGGCCTGAAACCAGTCTAAGTCCAGCCTCAAACCAGTCTAAGACCAGCCTCAAACCAGTCTAAGACCAGCCTTAAACCAGTCTAAGTCCAGCCTCAAACCAGTCTAAGACCAGCCTCAAACCAGTCTAAGACCAGCCT